GCTTATGAAAAGTTTAAAGAGGCGCAGAATGATAAACAATACAGTTTGCTCCAAGAAACTCCTACGCGATGGAATAGTGCGTACCTAATGATTAAAATATTAATAGAGACAAAACCTTCTATTTCTAATGTTCTACTTGCAACTCCAAAAGCTCCACAGACTATTACTGCAGACGAAATAGAAACTTTGAAAGATTTGGTTGAATTATTTGGTCCATTTCATGAAACTACTGTACAAGCATCAGCGAGTGATTCTGTTACATTATCATTAATAATACCGCTTACGTGTGGCCTTTACCATAAATTAAATGATTTGCAAACTAAAATGAAAACGACAGAAGGTTACAATACATGCACTTATGTAATTCGACGACTGAGAGTTAGATTAATTCACTACGAAAACCGAACAGTTACAAAAATGGGCACCACTTTAGATGCAAGGTTCAAGAAAGAAGGTTTATCAAGTAACATGACAGATAGTGCAGTCAAAGCATTAGAAGATGAAGTAGCAAGTTTAGGCAGGGCCGAACCATCTTCACATTATTATGAAGAACCGTCAACATCACCTAATGTACAACTTCAACCTGAACAATCGCTTTTTAAATTTATAAACAACAAGGTTGCGGAAAGAAAAAAATCCAAAAGGGTAGATGCAGTCATGACTCTTCGGCAATACCTTAATAAGCCGAACGCGTTTTATGACATTGATCCTTTAACCTATTTAAAGGTACTACATTTTATTCAATTTAATCTTTTGTTTTTAATAATTCGTTTGTTTATGCAGCAACGCAAGTGACATGGAGGCTATAAAAACTTTAGCCATACGCTACTTTTGTATTCCATCTACCTCAACGGAGTCCGAAAGAATTTTTAGTAAAGCTGGAATCCTTATATCGGACAGGAGGACTGCTTTGAAGCCCAAAAATTCCGACATGATTTTGTTTTTGAACAAAAACCAGTGGGTCATGGAATGATCTCACTTAATTCATTTAACTTTTTTCAAAGAGACCTAAATACTATGTGATTTTTTATTTTTTTATATATCTAAATTAACTGTGAGACAGTTAAAAAACTTGTTCAATACGTCACACGTAATTAAAATTAGAGACGTAAAAAATTGTTATTATTGAAAAGTCGAAAGTAAGTAACTGTGTAAAATTTTTCTATTTATTCGATACTATCGTCGATGTATCGATAGTTTTAGAAAAAACCATCGAAACTATCGATGGTCAGACTATCGACAGTTTTGCAGCTCTACACGCTAGAATAAATTTAATAGATTTAAATTTAAGTTGCTCTTGTTACCGACCAATGACATGCTAAATAGTACAAAGGTACATTATTACCTGCTCCTGACATTATTTTATGTTACTTACCGGAATTAGTGAAAGCGGATTTTGTGAAATTGGACCCTTCTAACATTGTGTTATTAATACTATGACAGAGAACATGCAGTAAACGTCGCATGAATATGCGGATATTCACCTAATTTACGGTGAAGCTTGCTGTAATGCCAGAGCTGCTCAAAGACTCTATGCAGAGCGATACCCCAATCGTCGGCATCCGGGTCGTGAAGTATTCGCCCGCACCCATAGAGAAATATCTGAAGTTAAGTAATTCTTACACCTTTCTTGTTTGAAGCCATTCTTCTTTTAACTATAATTTTTAATTTTTTTAAGGTCGCATACCTGGAAGGCGTGGCGGCGAGACAGGACGTCCTGCAACGGTAGATGTTGAAGTTGTGTTAGAGGAAGTGGAACTAGGTCCATCGACTTCAGTGAGAATGATGGAAAGACGGACGGGAATACCAAAAACTACAGTTCACAAAGCTTTACAAGACCATCGATTTCATCCATACCACATTCAACGTGTTCAGGCTCTACAAGAAAGAGATTACCTGTCGAGAGTTAGATTTTGCCGTGAAATGTGGCGAATGCATGAATCGGACCCCAACTTTTTTAATAAAATAATTTGGAGCGATGAATCATCATGCAAACGTGATGGTTATTTTAATTTACATAACCTTCACAGTTGGCAGATAGACAATCCTCACGAAATGAGAGAAGATCGTTCGCAGTACCGGTACAAAATAAATTTATGGTGCGGTATTTTTAATTGTCAGATATTGGGAACTGTGGAACTGCCGCCAACGCTCAACTCTCACAGTTATTTAGAGTTCCTTCAGGAACGGCTTCCAACTCTTTTGTTGTTGTTGTTGATGTACCCTTAAACCTGCGGCGAAGACTATGGCTGCAAAATTACGGGTACCCTACTCACTATGGGCGTGAAGTAAGAGCTCATTTAGAGGAAACTTATCCTCGCCGATGGATTGGACGATACGGGCCAATGAAGTGGACCGCTCGATCGCCAGACCTGAATCCATTAGACTTTTTTACTGGGGCTGTCTTAAGGACAAAATTTATTCAAAAACAATCAAAACGAAGAGCATTTGCGGAAACAAATAAATGGAGCTGCTGCTGAGATAGCCCAATTGAGTTTAAGATCTCTAAAAGCGTAGCCGAGCTTGTATTCGAGTAGAAGGTCGCCAATTTGAGCATATTTTATCAATAAATGAATACATTTTTCTTCAAACAACTCATGTATATTTTATTTCACGTGAACCCATCCTTTACAAAAAATATTGATAGATATAGCCCTTGTTATAGACTCTAGTCCGACTTCCGGCAAGTAACATAAAATAATGTCAGGAACTGGTAATAATGTACCTTTGTACTATTTAGCATGCCATTGGTTGGTAACAAGAGCAACTTAAATTTAAATCTATTAAATACATTCTAGCGCGTCTCAGCCCTTTGCCTACAAAAGCGGTATAACTTTTTTTTTCTATTCGAAACAGTAAGAGTGCCACCTTTCTGAAATCTTTATTAAATGAGCAATTTTTTTATGAAATGTAAAGTTAGTAAATTTTATTTTTAATATTTTTATTGAGCTTTGTACCACGATTGTTTAT